TGGGCCGGGAGCTGTGCCTCGTGTGGGTCTGCTTCGACGTGCTGTGCTGCACGGCCAGCATCTGGAACGTCACCGCCATCGCCCTGGACCGCTACTGGTCCATCACTCGCCACCTGGAGTACACGCTGCTCACCCGCCGCCGCATCTCCAACGTCATGATCGCTCTCACCTGGGCGCTGTCTGCCGCCATCTCCCTCGCCCCCCTCTTCGGCTGGGGGGAGACCTACAGCCCTGAGCTGGAGCGCTGCCAGGTCAGTCAGGAGCCCTCCTACACCATCGTTTCCACCGGTGGGGCTTTCTACCTGCCCCTGTGCGTGGTGCTCTTTGTCTACTGGAAGATCTACAAGGCGGCCAAGTTCCGCGTGGGGGGCCGCAGGAGGAACGCCGTGGTGCCCCTGCCCGAGGCTGCCCAGGTAAGGGTGTGGACAGGGAGGAGGATCCCCGCCGCCTCCCCCAGGCACCTGCGCTCCTGCTTCCCGTCTGCTCCCAGTGTCACCCCTGCATCGTAGGTTTCGGCACAGTGAGACATGTCCTGGGGTTCTCGTGTGACTTTAGCCCTGTTACAGCACGGACCTGAGCGGTAATTAGTCAGAAGGTGCCACTCTTGGAGAAGAATTTTATTCTTTTTTTTTCCTTAAGTGTGCTACAAGAGTAAGTCACAGGTTTATTCACTGCCATTCTGGAGAGCCATTTAAACATTATCTCTTTAGTCTGAATTTGCTATTCCTTGGGGTTTTTTCCTTTTTTTTTCTTTTTTTTTTTTTTACAGTGTTGTTGGGGTAAACAAAGACATATACAGATCCCTACATCATGTACAGGGTAAATGCATGTACAGTTTTCTGCCAGCGCTGACTTTGTGAGGGCTCTGTCAGCATCTGAATAGATTTTAATAAGTAAGTTATACACTTTGTTTCTGTGCTTGGGCTATTTTACCTTGAACAGGGGGAATATACTGCTCACTGCATAGTACTGAAGCAATGAGCAGTGAATTGTTTCTATTTTAAAATTACCAGCTGTCTTAAAAACCACATCTTCTCCTCCTTATCCCAAACATTGCCTGTAATCCTGCAAAGCCCAGCTCATGTGGGAGGTCTCATTCATTTCAGGGATACACCTAGCTGACCGGAAAGCTGTGTCCCTGTGGAAGGGCTGGGGTTGGCCCCTTGTGTCCCATTAAGTCAGGCTCTCTGCATGATGATGCTGTCACCTGTGCCACATCCCCAAGGTGCTCAGTACTGCTGTCTGTAAATTCTCTGCTTTCTTGTCACATACCCTACTTTCTTTCGTAACTGTGGAGGAACTGATCCTTCACAGTACCTTTTTGTGATTGCATGTTGTAATTGCTAAATCCAATCCCTTCCCAATGCCAAAAGATGAGCTGTGTGAGCAGGGCTTCACTTCTCTCCCAAATCCTTCTAACTTTGATTCGGAGTCATGATAGGAACAGTGTTATTCTGGCCATGAATCCAACCAAAGTCTGTAGGTGGTATTCCCCAGTTCTAGCAAGAGATATCAGCACTGGCAATTGTAAGTGAGCACACTTGCAGATTTGGGTCCTATGTCTTGAAGATGTTTATAATATGAATTGATTTATGAAGCTGTCTTCTATGCAAAAGCAGAAAATATGTTAGGAAATATGAGAATGTTTCCTCTTGTGGCATTTTTTTTCCCCTATGGCCTTCATCCCCTTGTTCGCACCAAATTTCTTTCCATGTTGTTATAAGTATGAGAAATGTATTGCTTGGAGTTAATGTATAATATTTCCAAGCACAAAAGCTAACTGAGTATTTACAGTAGTTTTGCATGCCCTGTCTTTTACGTGCACACATACTTGTTGGAATCTAAAATTCTGGGAAGCTAAACAAGCTGAGGCATTGCTGCTTAAATTTTAGCCTATAGAGAGACGAGTTGGTGGTGTGTCAGATTTAACAAAAAGAAGTCTGGCTCCTAATTGTCATCATTCTGTGTCACCAGCCCTTGCGTGGGCACAGCTAGGCAGGCAGGTAAGTGCTTTTTGCTGATGCAGTGTCTGGGAGCTGGTTTAGGCTACACTGACAGAAGAGCTTCTGTGTGAGCTGAATTCCCATTTTGGAGGGGCTGCCAGTGTAGCTGTTACTGCAATACCAGGAAATGCTCAACCCAGTAGTTCTTCATCTTTCTTGTATTGGCAGTGATTGACAAACTGACTTTATAACAGTGAATCTTGAGTCTGCAGTTGGTGTGTAGTGGCAGGCTTCCCCGTTGTCCCAGCAGCTTCATTTGCTACCTTAAATTAAAACACTTCTGTGGTTCACATGCAAACCATAACTCATCACCTAAAGGAAGAGCTGATCCCAGCTGCACATGTGTACATTTAATAAACCCGTGGACTGAGGGAGCTAGCATTCAGGATGCATTTGTTCTCAGTTTTCTTTCTAAGTTAAGAGACTGAGACTTACTCACTGTTTTATCCTGATTCCATTTAACCTTACAGGAGCAGGATCCATCGTGTTCACAGGAACAGCAGGAGTTCCCTAGTGAATTCTGTAGAAGGATCTTCAGATACATCATTACTGTTCCTTTGGCAAAACTAATTTAAGATGCAAACACAAAGATAACATTGCCAGGGTAAGTGGCAAACCTAGTGAGGTGATCCAGCTTTGCTCCCCTACATCCAGGGGTAATTAGGCTGTCAGCATTGTCCTTGTCCTTCTCTCTGATGGGGCAAACTGTGTATGTGTGTATGTGACTACACACGCAAGAAGGGCAGTTGTCTCCGAGCTGAGAGCTGGCTTATGTACATTATGTTTCTATACTCATAAATGCTCTGAACAAAATAGTTACAAAATAACTATTTTGAGTAATATTTAACATCTGAAGCTTCTGGTTTTAATGAAAGCTTATTTCTTACTTTCCCTCCAAAGAAATTGCAAAATTGAGACCCTAAATTAGGCTGGTGTAATTGTCTGCTAATTATGAAGCTCCTTAAAAAGTGAATTCTAGAGTCAATACTGACATCAGTGACCCTCATGTGAAAGAACTAGTGACATTCTGTCACTGACAGAGAACTAGACTCTGTCACACCTTGTTGACAGTAGGTAATAATTCTCTGTAAAGAGTTGAAATAAATGAGACTGCTTGAAAAACAGCAGCTGCTGCTGGGTAGTGCCCGTTTAAGCCAATGAAGTCACTTGTAACACAGGTTTTACCCAGCAAGAACAAGGATGGCAGAGTCTGAATGTCAGGTTTACCTAAAGGTAGCAATTGCAGAGTCAGGTCACATTCCACCTGAGGAGTTAAAAGTGAAGTTGTGCTGATGGTTTTTGTTGTTGTTGTTGTTGTTGGTTTTTCCTTTCACCCCTCTCAAAGTACCTTGTATGGTGTATGAGTAATTAGGCATGATCCCAATGTTTTATGAGAGTCCTCCCCACTACCTTGGTAGTATCAGGCCCCAGAGCTCCCACATCACCTTGGCCGGTTCACCCTCTCCGACCCACATAACCAGTCAGGACAATATGGGAAAGAAAACAGATTCTCCTTCTCTGAAGGAGTCACAGGCCTTCTGTTTCTTATTTCTGCCTCTGTACGAGAAGAGATGGGTCAGGAAATGAAGTGTAACTGTCTGGAAGAATGGCAGCAGATGTCAGATAGGAGAAAGATGAGGAAGGAAGTGGAGTGGAGTGGCTAGCCATTTCCTGGGAGAAATGCAGAGCTGTTCCTGCTTACGGCAGAATTAAATCCTGTGAAAGAAAGCAGTGTTCTTTTCCCTGTCAAATGTACTGTTTGTTGTAGTGGTGGAGCATCCAAGAAAGTGTAGACATTCCTATGTTTTGATCCTTCGTTGTACATTTCAGTTTCTCATGTTCTTGTTCAAAGAGCGAGAAGCTGCACCGAGGCAGTAATGATCTTTTCCTTTGCTGAATTAAACTGTAATATGCAAAACTCTGATTTTATGGTAGCAAACCAAATTTGATTGATTGATGTTTATCACCTTTACTGTTATTTAAATCAGAAGCCTAGAGTTCTAGTACAAACACATACACACTACCTACCACAAAGGACCAGTAATAACGATCATTAAAGCTCTAAGGAACATTTTAAATCAAAGGATTTTATCAGAACCTCCTTGGTGGCTTGTTTTTTGTAATGCTGCTGGGAACACAGGAATTGGGAACATGCAGCTCTAGGAACATGCAGCTCTTTACAGGGGACAGCCAGAAGTGGCATTGAACTGTAACTGCTGATCAATGTACAGAAGAGTGAATTCTGAAACTAAAACCAAGCTCCTTTGTGTCGGTATAAGAATTTGTACTTGGAGCCCTTTTCCTTCATTTAACTCTCTTTGCTATACTTGGATTGAGAAATGGTTGTATCAGCACTTCTCAGAGCCTGCTGTCCTGTGTTTCATGAATTCTGCCCTCAGAGCAGCAGTCCTTTCATACCAGTGTTTTTCACCTCTGCTCCTGACTCGCAGCTCCTGGAGCAGAGCCCGAGCGGAGGGAAGGAAATTTGTGCCCGAGGCGTAGTGTGCTGCTGGCCACTGAGTGAGAACAGTGTGCAATGCCGTGCAGAGATGCTCACATATGAGAGCTGTCTCCAGTATAAACTAAGGCATCTTCATGGATTGCTTTAATTTACAGTCTGTGACCACCTTTTCCCCTGTAACAGCCTGCTTGCTAGCACTCATCAGTACGCCGAAAATGGGGGCCAAGGTTTTATATTGGGCTTGTCCTTTGTTCCGTGTGGCACAGGGATAGCAGTCAAGTATTGTGACAGGTTAGAAATTGGAGTGGTGCAAAGCCTCCAGGATGAACATTGGAAACTGCAGATTTGGTATAGTCAGAGCCACGTTAGCTCAAGAAAATCACAACTGGCAAGGCTGGAAAGCAGCCACATAATCTTATTGTCCTGTGCCCCTGTTCAGACAATGTAAAAATACAGTGGATTACCCCGTGTTTGCATAAGCGGGGGAATCCTTTAGCATGGTTCCCCCGCGAGCACCGTGTACCTACAATAGACTAATTTACTTTCCATGTACCTTGTGTGGGTTGTCTTATAACAAACAGCCTTGACGACATAGTCTTGGAGGCTGATAGTTGTAGCAAGGATAATCTTGCACCAACCAGGCCAGGGAGATGAGTCAGGTCTGCAGTAAATCATGTAAATGAAAAAAAAAAAGACATTATAATGACAGGATGGACTTCACCATCTACGGAGCACAGCACAGCAATGCTGACGCATTTACAGAGCATTGAGACAGGGCCACTGAGCCCAGGGCCCCGCTACAAACCCTGAGCAAAGTCTGGGCCTTTTTGAGACAGAACGAGCCAGGAGCAGCTGGGCAGAGGATCCCAGGTCTGCCAAGTGGCAGCGCTCACGCCAGGGCTGGCACTGGGAACAGGACCCCATGCCGGGAATGCCAGAGGGGCAGCTGTCGCGGCAGGCGAGCCCGATGGAGAGTCAGCGGAGCGAGGGTCGTTCACAGCGTGTGTGGCTGCTCAGCTGGGAGTGGTGCACGGGGTGAGCTTTGGGCACCGGTGATCACAGAAAGCTGAGCTTTCACACAGCCTCAGAGGTTTAAACGCTTGTGTGAGTCCTGC